TTTTTCCAGGCCTCGTTTTAAGTCTTGAAACGCGCTCCCGCTGTGGCGAAACGCATATTTGCCCAAAAAACGTGCGACAGATTCCGACTCGTGCGGTAGTAGTAGTAGTAGTAGTCGTCGTCGTCGTAGTAGTAGTAGTAGTCGTAGTAGTAGTAGTAGTAGTAGTAGTAGTAGTAGCAGTAACAGTAGCAGTAGCAGTAGCAGTAGCAGTATTGTTGTTGTTGTTGTTGTTGTTGTAGGGTCGTCGTCGTAGCATGTCGTAGTTGTAGAAACAGTCACCGTCCTAGTAGTCATCGACGTAGTAGTAGCCACTACTAGCAGCAGAAGTGGTGGTAAGGACAAGCAGAGGTAAATAAGGTAAATAATGTAGACCAGCTGACGAGCAATCAGTTCTACCGGCTGCATCGCGTGTGTGTGCGCGGCGGGCGGGGAAACCCGAAACTCAAACGGTAGGACGTCAGCCATCCAGCTCAGGCAGTACGTGGGCCCACGGACTTGCTTTCTGGCGTGGGCCTACGAAGCTCCAGATTGGGATGCTATCCTCAAGAAACCTTCCCTCTAAGCTTGTGACCTCAATCCTTACGCCGGGCATGACTCTCTTGGTGCGAGTATTTTCAGGTAGGCGAGTAAACAGAAGATTTGGAGTTTCATGTCTCGGATTGACTGTGTGTTGAAAATGAGATGAATATCACACACCGAAAAATCTCGGCGGTACGAGTTTCCAGCGTGTGTCTTCTCGCGTGTGCATTTCATGCTTGTTCCCGGCAGACATTTCGAAAACCAGACGGGATGTGTGTGTTTCTACAGATATGTGTCAGTATATCTGTGTGAATATCGGTACACCCAGCCATGCGTACAAGTACCCGCACTTCGACGGCCGGCATAAACGTTTCATTTGTATACACAAGCATTAAGATTTGAACCCACTCAACCCACTCACATACACAAGCCGGCACTGTGCAGCCCACGCCTCAGCTGCTGAGTTCCCGTGGAGGCTTCGTGCACGTCGCTCCATGGCCGGGTGTGCCAGCAATGCAGTCGCCTGCCATTCCGACTGCCGTACAACTCGGACTTCATTGCCAGGATTGCAAACGGGCAGTGGCACGTCCGAAAACCAACGCCAGGGAAAATGAGAAATGAGCTTTATCCTATCGACAGGGGTCAAGTCATCCCACTGCGAATTGCGAGCGGAGAGATGGAGTCATCGATCACAGGCTTTCAAAAGCACTGACAGCTTTCGTGCATGCCCTTACCATCACATCACCATTATTTGGGTGCTCAGTCTCTCTGTCGTCGTTACTTCTGCATTGACATGTTCGTTGCTGACCTTCGCCTTCGCCGGCATCACCATACTTTTTGAGCTTACTAGAGTCGTACTGTTGATGGACAAAATTCTGCATGACCCAAATATAGTATAGTACCATAAACCCCATAGTTTAGGTATATAAGGTCATGCAGGATTTGGGGGTTTCGGAAAATAGGGGACCCTAATATAGTACTAAATAATAGGATCCCAAAATACGGTACCCCCCTAATTTTCGGAAACTCCCATTTTGTCCATCAACCCTAAACCCTAAACCCTAAACCCTAAACCCTAAACCCTTTCTTACCCCTAAACCCTACCGTACTTTGCCAGAGGCAGCTCGGTTTAAACCGGGCCTGCGAGGCCGTGTCCACGAAAACGATGCAGCGGCCACCGAGCATGTCCAGCCTGGGAGACATTATCTTAGGGTCCTTATAATAGGGGTTTAGGGTTTAGGGTTTAGGGTTTAGGGTTTAGGGTTAGACATTATCTTAGGGCCCTTATAGTAGGGATCCTATTATTTAGGGTACTATGGAGTTTCCGAAAATTAGGGGGGGGAGCATGTCCAGCCTGGGAGACATGGGAGGTTCATTATGCTATAACTATAACAAGGAACCCCCAAAACAGTATAGGTAGTTATTGAGGCCCCTATATGGGAGTTTCCGAAAAGAAGGGGGTACCTTATTTTGGGCTCCTGCTAATAAGGATCCTACTATTTAGGGTATATCAAAATTACTGTAGCGGTGCCTTATTTTGGGCTCCTGATAATAAGGATCCTCTTATTTAGGGTGCTATATTAGGGTCCCCTATTTTCGGAAACCCCCACATGCGATGAGGGTGGCCGACTTCCCCCTTTTGCAGATCATCATCAATACCGCCAGTACAAAGCCAACTATGTTTGTTGTTTCAGACCGCTGGCTGATTCGGGGCGATTAATGATCGAGTGGTGGGACTTCAGGCACTACTTTAAGCAATTTTCAACCTGAGGAACTTCAATCGTACTTGACGCTCCGTGGCGCGAAGGCACTAGCTGCTCATGGAGCTGAGGGTTTGCGATGATCACTCGAGGATTTGCGGGATGGACCTCGGATGGCTCCTGATAGCCGAGCATCTTCTCGTTCAGCAGATGCATCAGAACACGAGCACGGGCTGTCGGCCTCCGACTCCAAAGAGCATCGAGAAGAATATCTTAAGCATCTCTGACTGCAGCTACATGAATCTTTCCTCCTATTCCGGAATTTGATCATGTCCTCACGGTTTGCATCTGCGGTGGCCTTTTGTCTGGGACTTTGCACAGGCGATGGTCAACGGCAGTAACAACCTAGGTGCGATTCGATCGGGCTCCATTCTGCAACTTATGTCTAGAGAATGTTGAAAGCCTGTCTATGCAAGGCGAGTGCCCGTCCTGCAACGCTTCGGAACGCAAGCTGATTCTCAGTACAAAAAACAGCTTCGCCCTTTGGCCCGCTTCGATTCACGAGGTCCACAAGCTCGTGATCCTTGGCAGCTGTGCCATCGGCATCAAAAGGACTGCTTCGGCTGTGGCCGTTCCACAAGAAACCCAAAGTGGAGGATTCTCGGTAGGAAGTGGGGGTTTCCGAAAATAGGGGACCCTAATATAGTACCCCTAAATAATAGGGTCCTTATTATAGGCACCCCCAAATAAGGTACCCCCAATTTTCGGAAACTCCCAAGTGACTCATTTCTGGTGAGACCAGGCGGCTGGAAAGTGCTGACGAATAAGCGTCGAAATATCATCAGGCAAGGAGGCGGAAAAGAGAACGTGCTGCCTTGGCTTGGGGGTGTCTTGCATCCAAGAAGCCTCATTGCCGGGAAATGCAGCAGCTTCGCAGGCCCATCCAACAGTCACCAGACTCTGCAGGAACATGCGAATGTGCCCAAGAACTTACAAATATCTGGCCATGCGTGTGGCCTTCCCCAGCCATGGTACAGTCCGGGCTTGGCAACTGCGTTCAGCACTCGCTCCACTCGGCCCACGAATTCAGGACCGAACCTTGGCACCCGATTCCCGAGCTTCCCGAGCAGTGTGAAGGCTTCGGGACAAGCATGGGCCCGAGATCATGTCCCGGCACTATCTCTTGCTCTTTCTAGAAGAATCTGTTGCTTAAGGTCACGGCATGGCATCTGCTTCATCAATCACCAGCGCTCGCACATTCTCTGTTTGCAAGGCACCTTAACACATGAAGAAGGCAGCAGCTCGGCCGAGTGCGTGGAAAGCATCGATCTTTTAGCGCCTCGTTCCACCAGTCGCGCGCAGCGGCCAGGCGTAGCGACCTCAATGGGCTTTGGCATCAACGCTTCAAAACGATCCCTTGGAGCTTGTTATTTGTGCAGCAACTCATGTTAGTGTTAGCCTAGTATAGAAGTGTCACCCGACATCATGAAGAAGGCCGTATTCACGCCTTCAGTATTTCTTGAAAACCTTGGACTTGGCAGCATGGAGCTGCGGAGTTGGCTTTGCAAGAGATTGCACTTTTTGGGCGAAGTGCTTCGGAAGGCGCTGGAGAAAGCTTTTGGAGCTATCCGGGCGCTGTGGCTGTGCACAATTTACTGCGCTCCGCCATCGCAACGAGCCAGAATGGAGAGACTTGTGAAAGCTGGGACTCAGCCAACACGACAGTCAACACTGCCCGAATGCTGCCCAAAAATAGCGTTTTCTGAAACCCGTACCTTAGACACCTGCACCAGCCACTGTTGCACTCACAAGTTGCGGGCCGGCTTGCTTGCTGCTGCTTCATTCACCAATACTTGCACACTTTCACTGGCGAACGCGGCCTCGCATTTGTTGCTTGAATGGCCGAACAACTTGTGGAATTGCAGGAGTTCTGTAGACTCTCGGAGAAATCAGCCGCGAGGCAACTGCCACTGCGCCGAGCCGAACCAGTTGCTCCTAGAAGGCTGCCAAATTCTAGTCTGCAGCATTAGTCAGCATCACCTTGCACTAGCAGCTATAGCAGCGGCACATGTCTAGAAGTTGGTGGTCATTGCATCATCATGAGCCTAAAAAACCTTGTAGTGCCTATGGCAGAACGCCTTTGCAGTTTGCATTCATGTTGCCTCGGTCCTCTTCGATTGCATATGGACAATACACATTCAGGCATAATCATACAAGTGCGACCTCGCTGAAAGAGATGCACTTAAAGATACAACGGAACCAGCGCCTCCCACCGCAGGTGCCAGCTTGCAATTGCGTTTTATTGGACTCTCTGAATAATTTAGTGCGTCTCTGAAGAGAGGAATTTCCCCACCCTCTGCCGTCTGCCGCATCTCGCCTGCGAGTGCAAAGTCTCGCCGCCGTAAACCTTAGTCTACGTGCACGGCCCCTGCCTGTCCATTGCCACACCCTGTAATTTCATTGACTGTCTGACATGCCACACCACCCCCTATACCACCATATGCTAATCCTGGGCCCCATAATATCAAGCGAGGAGGCCAGTGCCACGTCCACCTGCACGGACAATGAGAGCAATGCCGATCCAACCTCCCAAGGGCACCATGCACGAAAGCGTCTGAAACTCTTATGCCAAAGGACAAAACGGAATGAAAACATACACCCTCGCCAACAAGGTGGCCTGTTTGCATAGCTCGCGCGTTGGCACCAGGATCACCAAAGAGTGCGGCAGTGTCATTTTCCTGACAACTTTGACTGCTCTGCTAACAAACTCGGCCATCCAGCAAACCTTTCATTACACCGGCAGGACAATTATGTTACTTATGAGTCGCCTCGTACCCCCATAGCTGTGTATGTACGCCAGGTTCCGCAGCCCGTCCCTGTGCCACGGAGATGGAATGACTCTTTCGTCTCCAGGTTTGCCCAGGCAGTACTCTGGGGAGAACGGTCCGGCGGCCGGTGAAAGTATGGAGACAGGAAGCTAACTCAGGCACACAATGCGATTTCACAACATTTGCCGTGAGACCTACACTTCCAGGCTTCTGCATCATCAGCTATTAAGTTGTGCACGTGTGGTTCCGACGCAAATCTCTCGTGCGTCCAGAAGGAAGTGACATGGAACATCATGGAACAAAAATGGAAGATCAAGCAGCTCATGGCGCATTCGTTCCAGTAGTGGCAGCAGGTAGGCCACCTGTTCGGCGCATGGGGTCTCCAGCCAGTTTCAAGAATAAATGCCAAGGCAGAGATTGACATGCCTGCACGAGCGCGACACAAAGTCTACAGAAGCATACCAATAGCATGAAAGAGGGACGCCATGCAGAAACGTCATGCCCCACCGTCTTGCCGGTCCCGGTCTTCGAGCGGCCAACGAAGCTCCTCCCCCGGAGGATGGGATCAAAGGCGCGCCTCCAAAAGCATATGAATGGCATGGCGCGACTGCGACACGGCTGCATTGCTGTCTCTCCAGTTGCTTCGGCTTTCGACAAGGGGCGACTGGATCTCGAAGAGCTTCGTCACGCCCAGACCGTGCAAGTTCCTCGTAGAGTCAAGCAACTTTTCGTCGGTTCATAAAAGTGACCCTAGTTCGATGCCAGGATCGTTACAGGCTTCCTAAACAACAAGTGCTTGTACTTCCCGCGTCTATGTCGAGTTCGGCAGGGCCTTTGCTCATTCTATTGTGAGTGATCTCGGCCACGAGCCAGCAAATTTTGATTGCTTTGCACTCTGCTTTACTGTGCTTTCGGCTGCGTGCGTCTGTCGTACTCGTTCTTATTCGGGGCAAGCCATTACAAGAAGGGCCCGATGTTCGTTACTCGACTTCGGCGTCCAAAACTTTGTTGGCTCTTCTTGGGTCCGTGGCCATCCGGCGACACCTGCATCATGCAGTGCCTCACTGGCCTGTAGGGGCTGGGTACCTGCTAAAGGCCTTGTCCTTGCCTCGGCAATAGCATAAAGCATCATCCATGACAGCAGTCACCTCAGGAAGAGCATCGAGCTGAAAATGAAACCAGCCGAGCATCTGCTTGAGAATCTCGGGTATGGGGAGCCTCAGAAGGAAAGTGATGCAGAAAGCATTCTCAGAAGCGTTTGGTTTTCACGGCCCCAATAAGTGATGCAACTGAACCCTGCAACATTACGCAACATTAATCTGTCTGTGATTGTATACGCCTTTCACATTCAAGCTGGGGCAATGACGAATGAAGCTGTGTTTGTGTGTGTCGAATGTGGCTATTTCGAATCCGGGGTGGACGGTTCAGGACCAACTAGTTGATCTTGCTGGGCATGCACCTCACATTATGCGACTTACGCATCTCCGCAGCGCCTGCTTTTTTCGGCCGAGTGGCTTGTCCACCTTCCGCGAAGCGGCCGCAGACTGCGGCGACGAGCGAGCCCCGGCGTCGGCAGCGACGTGCCTTCACAGGTAGGTGCTGTGTTCTTGTGCTTCTTACTGATGCAGGGTGCTGCAGACATCCTTGAAAACCACTGGTATGCAAAGGCTGATCCTTTGAAACTGAAACTGGAAAGATCGAACTACGCCGCAGGCTCGAGCCGGGATCATGTAGCAGGGTCCACTGCGTGGTTTTCTTGCCTCTTCTTTGCTTCTTTGCAACGGGCACGAAAATGCCGGCCTGAAGAAAAGGCGCCGGGGATACCACAGCCGAGCTGCCATCGAGCTGTGCCGTGCGGCGCCATCCAGGCTCTCTCGAGGGATCAACGAGGCTCCACAGTGCAGCGATCTTACAGAGTGTTGGCGAGGGTCGACCAGAAACATGCTGCTGTGAAAAGCTTTCCGGCAAGTGAATGGCGGCCGTCCTCTCATCAAAAATCTTGAATCTTAAAGGTGGAAAGGCAAACGTCCGAGCCGCGGCTTCGCTCGGTTGTGTGCAAGGAACCCCGCTTGCCTGAGATCTTAGTGATGTACGGGTGATGACGACGACAACGATCATGAGCATTAAACCTTGGCCAGGACGCGGTGACGGGGCAATCGTCAACCGGAAGCAACCAACGAACCAACCAACCAACCAACCAACCAACGGAAGCGAACGATTCAGAAACGTGCAAACGGCACGGGTCGCGATGTCGCAGAAACGCTGAAGAAGAGTAGTCACCATGGCAGCTAGCACTAAGGCGTGAAACTACCACAACCTGACGGGTCGAAACAGACATGCTGGTAAGGGTCTCTGCATCATGCAACACCCAGTCTGATGTAGAATCAATGCTGTGCACTGCAATGCCACGCATGGTAAGCCATGGGAAAACTCACTACAGTTGTCATTTTTGCTTCCCATGGTCTCCCGAGTTGGCTGCCTTCTGTAGTCAGCTCCCTGGAAAAAATGTCCAAAGCGAAACAATACAAGATGCAGCATAAAGTATGTGCAACCGGCACGTTAACAAAAGTTGTAGGTAAGACACTATGTTTCAATCAACCTTCAACCGGAGAGGACGCAGTCATTTTTCACAACTTGTCTTTGAGACGGTAAACGGCGACAAGCCTCCGCCATGCAGCCACACAGTTTGACTGTGTCGCCTGCAGCTTCTGCGAACAACGCCTCCGGAATGGAGCGATTCCTACCGTCGTACTGCGCAGAGCCATCAGGCCTCCTGTCGCCTGCATGGGCTTTCAACGCAGGTATGTAATCTTGTTTCGCCTGGCCCTTCGCTAGGAGCCGAACCAGCAACAACGAGGAGCCACTCTCATTTCTTCTCCTTCTTGGGCTTCATGCTGATTGCTTTGGCCAAGGCCACAGCTGACCCGACTCCTAGACGTTCCGAAAACCGGGACATAAGCTTCCGATTTCGTGGTTGGGAGCTTCTTGTGGCCTTGGGCCCTCTCTGGATTTTTTCTGGGACAGCGCAGGCAGGGTTTGAGATCCTGCTCAACAACATTTTGCGGTCGACAGTTGAAAGGCTGTTCTTGCAATCCCGCGGGCAGGACAGATTGTGGACACAAGCCATCCCACCAACGCCAAGCACTTGACAGCACGTCCAGTCTGACTATGGGATATTCGCAGGAGGTTCAGGCTTACTTGCTGCAAAGCTGCCCATGATCATGAAGAGTACCAGCCGGTCAAACTTCTCAGGTTCACGCGAAGACTTCACAGCCTGCGCACACCAATGAAGCATTCAGCACTGCCTACTGTACAGAAAACTTCTGTTCGAAGCAGGCCGTGGCATACCAAACGAGCAGACTGCCATCCTTGCTCTGCATTTTGTAAAGCAAACGTCCGACTGAATGCGGACCCCATACCTGATGGCTTTCTGAACCATCTTGATTCCGAATCCGCCGCTAAGCCTGACGCCATCCGTACTCTGGATCACCCCTTCAGTAAGTCCGAGCGGTGCTTTCCTCTTTGGTTTAGCTGAGTGCTTGCAAACTCGCCGAGGTGATCAACGCTCAGGTGTCGCTGAAGCCTCGGGCTGTTCCTTTAGACAGGGGGTGCCTGCTTTGTTGCAGTTTGGTTGCTATCTGCAGCTTGCACCCAGCTGTCACATTCTGCCGTGCACCCCGCGCAACCCCACCCATCCCCGTAGTGGCAGCCTGGATGGTGAACACTGCAATGAACACTAGCATCAGCACCTGAGCAGGAAGGGTGAACAAGACGTTCAGCGTATCTGGAGTCACACGTTTATGGGGGCCCTGGCCAATGCCAGATGGACTCCGATGGCCACCGGCACCTACGGGCGAACTCAAGGAACCAAGGCTTGGAGCAGTTCTTGCAGTAGCATTCGAACCTTGAATCTGGAGAGCGGTCCTCATAAAGTGCTGTAGCTCTAGGACACCATTAACTTTGGAATTCCAAAACCGATTCCGTCCCAGAGCTCACTTTTTCCTGGGCAGAAAACCATGTGCAATGCTGCGCGCGACCTCGGCAGCTCAAGCAGCTCATCCCAGGATGGGTAGTGCAGGCAGGGGCTTCAACTGGTCTTCGAACCTGGACACTGCAGAAACACCGACCGGAAATGAAAAAGCTCGAAAGTGAGAATCATCCCATGCGAGAGATCCAAAGGCTTCACGACTGGACAACCGTCAGGTGGCTTCAAAGGAAATCTGCGATCTTCTGCCGCCGACCTGCCGACTCGTGGCTGGGGTGCTCCAAAGTTGTGATGCTTCTGTCAACATCAATTCTCGAGTCCTCATCGAACCCAAGCAAGCGGGCTTTCGTGGAAAGGGTCAACTTTGTGACGCTGAGCAGAGGGCAGGATCGGTGATAGTTTTATCATTTTTTCTCTCACTACTCAAGCAAACCACACCCGCCAGCCTGCCCACGGGCGAAAGTCCTGCAAAAGAAGCAGCAGGGACAGATATGACCAAAATGCATTCGGCAATCCCAAATCCCCTTGAAGCTTCCCGCTGGCCTCGTGCAAGGTCAGGACCAGCAAAGGCTGATCAAAACCGTTCATGAGCACCGGCGCACCAGACTGCATGCCCCTTAGATGAGGTTGATGCCGACAGTGCTCTCTTCAGCATAGAAACCCGACTCTCACAGCTGCCAACTGTAGGTTCGCTGAACTGTGCCAGGTGCTATTGGAAAGGTGAGGTCGTCGGACACCCTTGTTTAGTGCTGCCGAAGTGCACACGGTACGGCTGCCTCAGTGTTGAAGAAACGTTCTCTTACGAATACTGCGCTGGAGAAAATAGAAAATTGAACTATTTTTGCGACACTCGGCTCTGCCCATTCCCCAAGCGGTGTGGTAACACGACGGGGGCGAAGAGCTTGGATTTGGTTAGGTGGCGCCGGCGCCCGACCCCCGCCATCTCCAGCCACAGTACCGCAAACGTTGGCTGCGACTCGTGCTTCCACCTGAAAAAACGTCCGCAGGCATGGTGGGCTGGGGGTCGTATTCGCGCCACGGCGGGGTGCGAAATTTTGACTCAGAGCCTCAGGGCTCCTCCTGGCATGTTTGTATGTTGGCCTTCGACTTGTACAGTAGGTGCTCTTTCAACGCTTAAAGATTCGCCGCCATCATGATGGCAAACGATCCATGCACCCGCACCGGAATGAATCTTGACCTAGTGTAGTGGCAGAAGTGTCCGTTCCCGTGCTTTCTTCCGCTCGGTGACATGGCTGGTCCATCGAAGTCGTCACGTCGACTGGGCGGTACGTCCAGGATCACCTCGTAGCCATCACCTGGGATGTGCAGTTGCTCCAACTCGTCGCCAACTCCCCAACCACTCTCGCCCTGACACAACCCTCGGCCAGACACGACTTGGAATCAAGACAAGGCTCCTATGGGCCCATCGGTTGGGATCTCAATCTGGCCACGCAGCGCAGATATGGAGACACATTCCACTTCCGAACTGTGCCGCATAAGCCAGCTGCAATCGAGACATACACATCTTCGAGTTAACATGGAAACCCCGCAGAATCTGAAGCCTCGGTGCAACGCGGGCCTCGTTGGGTGGAGGCAAAGCAGGCTCCTCTGGAGGGCCCTCTGGTGGCTCCTGTCGTAAGCCATACTGGAGGTTGAGGAAACAGGTGGAAAACTTGGCGTGGAAGATGCAGACATACGGCAGGCAAAATAACTTCGGGTGATGGGGAGATGTATGCAACCCATTGCGAGCAGAGAAGTATTGACAGCACTGCTACCGGGTGTCTTACCATGCCCGTCACAAGCGACTAGTCAGTGCGTGTCATGCTAAGCCCATGTCATGCACGCGGTCTTAGTTCCCTAGTCCATTGGAAAAACTCCGGCACAAGCACCTGTCCCTAGTTAGTTTTGGCGTGCCAGAGCTTATCAGCCCAATTGGCCCAAGAGATAATCCAGCCTAGTTCCGTTGAGATTTACGGCCGACCCATAGCGAAACATTGCAGGCTTCTCTACCTTTCACCATCCACGTCACAGAACGACGATTTGTACAGAGCCTTAACTTTGCAAGCCCCCCCCCCCCTTCAATGTTGCAGGCGTGACGGCAGGCGGATCTTTCTCTAGCTGAGCCATAATTTCCTCAGCAAGGCAGGCGAATGCAGTCAAGCCGAAGGTCTTGGAAGGTGTGAATTATCGGGTGGCCTTCATTACATCCTGACAACTCCCCAGCTCGGCATGAAGACTCGCTGCCCCAGTCTTCCCCACTCGAAGTTGTTGCCTAAACGTTGAAGCCCTTGTCCGAAAACCGAAATCCTTCCAAACCCTAAAACTACAACCTGAGACCCTTGTTGAACGAGGTCTCTCTGAGGTGCCTGAAACCCTTCCTAGCCCCATGAGTTTTTCTTTGTAAGCCTGTAAATCTTAACCCCTGAATTCCATAAAACCCACCCCGGAGTGCAAACGATAGCCCTGAGCCGAGACACGGAGATGGCTTGGAAGCCTGGGACCGGCAATGCGAGCACTTAGGGCTTGAGTGCCTCACTTTTAAGGGGGGGGCATTCGGATAACAACTTAATGGTAGGATGGTACGAGGTAAGCTGGCATTCTGATAGTGACCAGAAATGACGGTAATTATGGTACTAGTAAAGCCAGGGTCTACACACGGCCCAAGACATGTCCAGAGCCTACGCCAGAAAGCCGGCGGGTTGCTAAAAGCATGAGGTCTCACAGCCCGAGTTGGCAGCGGCACCAGGTCCTCGGCAGGCGATTCTATTCCTGCTTCCTTGCGACGCTTGCTATGCAGAAAGATGCAGGCAAGGCAAAAACCAAAGGAGAAGCCACCGGGAGAAGACTCGAAGAGGGTTTTTTTCAAGACATCCTTGCGGTCGACCTTTGGTCCTTGGGGCCTGGACAGGCTCTGGGCTCTGTTGTCCGTGTCCCAAGACTTCAAGCCGACATCGACAGGATTCTGAAATGCCCAGAGCGATGCAAAAACACTCGCATTGGGGCCAGAGAAAACCCTAACCTCACCTGGCCCTCAGGCTTGGATCCCAGCCGTAGCCGGGCCAAGCTCGCTGAGGAGTGCCATGTTCCAAGGCGATGGCGCTCCAAGCGAGAGCTTGGCCGGGTCTTGGGTTTCTGGACGGGGCTCCCAAGGCAAGAGCTTCAGATCTGTAAGAAGTGACAGAGGGTCGGGCTGCCACGGGGTCTTCAACAGATCTCGACTGAGCCTCGATGCAGTCCTACGGCGCATCCGGCGCACTGCAAACAGAGAGTATACTAGCAAGCTGAGACCTGGAGAGCTTGAGGTTGAGGGCGTAGGTGCTCGGCAGGGTCCATGCCAAAGCTTCGGATTACGTTTCAGTTGCTCGAGGTTTAAATTCTGAAGGCAGCTTGAATATCACTGCTGTCGTTTATGCTGTTGACGTGCATGTCTGGGCGCATCTTTGGCGCTGAATTTTTCGATCTCACGACAACAGCTGCAGAAGCGCTCTCAGCCGTCGGGGCAACAGGGGCCGAGCTCTGCACTCCGTCTAAACTGACCCCCGATCGTGCCTTCGCCTCGGTGGCAGCTAGAACGCCGCACACAGCCATCGAGACAAAACCGCCGAGGCCTGGCATTGCCAAGATCCCCAGAATCCTCTAGCTACCGCTCAGCATAAGTTAAAATGCCAAATTGCCAAACAGACTTGCTGCAGCAAGCATCAACTCATGGTGGACCTCTTTGGAAACACATTAACCAACGACCACTACTGTAACTATTCACGTCGCCTGGCTGAGGCGAGCTTGAACCATGGCACGGGGGGAGCACGTCCTGTGAGGGAGTACGTAGCTGCTCGGGGCCTGCGTACATCGAGTGCATCGCCTTCTTCTCCCAGCCTTGGTTCCCAATTCAGCTGGGAGCTGAATGTGATGCAGCCCCGAAAGCAGGCGCACAGCTCTCGATCTATGGCGGATGCAACGTGTCTCCCAGCCTCCCCTTCGCCCAGAACGGCCATCACGGAGACAAAACAGCAAGCCACCGGGGAGCTATCATGACACGAACAGGGCTGAGATTGCCATGCTCTCTGAGCCAGGTGGCTGTGCAGGGCTGCCCCGGCAGTGCCACATATGGCAAGGAAGGCGCCTCGGGCCGAGTTTAACTTGGGCTGAAGGAGCCAAGCACAAAGGCATGGGGCTCTGGGCCCTCTACTGGCACTGAGCAGTTCGAAGCTCCAAGAAACCCTGAGAGCCGGGGCCATAGATCAGCAGCATGGTCCCAAAGCTTTTGGACATCTTCTCGAGCCCTCCCAGTCCTTGGAGGCAGCGCAGAACTGTGTAAGAATCTTCTTTCGGTCGAAACACTTCTGTTCGGTTGCGTGTGTGTGCGTGTGTGTGTGTGTGTGCACTTCTCCAGTACATGAGATAAGTGGTTCACAACCGTTTCGCTTGCTCAATCTTACCGCTTCATTCTCATCCAGGACCATGTCTACAAGAGTGCAGCTTGCGTTTCAGTATTTCGCCAACATGAGCATGTCAGCAAGAGTGCAGCTTGGTTTTCAGCAGTTCGTCAGCAGGGGACCACCAAGGCCTCCGGGGAGCGGTGGTCAACGAAGACCTCCCCGGAAAGCCTGTGCAAATGTACCTGCTCTCTCCACCCTCATTGCATCTGGGGCGGTCGTCCCAGCTGATGAATGAGGAGTGGAAATGACGACGAGGAC